TCCCCGCCTCGAGCAGAAGCCGAAAGGGAACTTACTGCGCTCAGCTGGGTCTCATTCTGCGCCCTGCGCCGGGCACCGCTGAGCCGCTGCCAACTGACAGGCGGCTTAAATATTGCCAGAGAATGGGGATTTGCCAGCGGAGCTGTTAGCGGTGTCACAAGGAACGCGAAGGAATATTTATAGTCAAAGTTAAACTAATTGCCCGAAGTTGCTCTTTCGCTCTCCCCCGGTGAGAAGCGTATTAATTTCACTATCAGGGCTCGCGGGTCAAACTCCACGCCGTGCCGTTCTCTTAAGCAATCTGCGCAGCTACAGAAGGGACAAGTAACAATAAAAAAAAAAAATTCCGTGCTGATGTGCTCGGGAGCTGACGGCCCGTGACACAGGGAGCTGCTGACAGCGAGACCTGGCTCTGGAGTTAGTGCCTGAGCCTCACAAAGAGCAGAACCCACCCCTGGGCTGGGGTTCATCACTTGTTTCTGAGTCTGGAGGTTAATCCCAGAATTGAGTCTGCTCCTGAGACCAGGCTGGAGGTTTTGGCCTCAGCATCATCTGTCTGAAAAACCCGATAAACGCTTACAGCCAAATAACCTGCAGAGAACGATGCTGGAGAGGGACTGTCCAGCCCAGCGGGAGACCACGGCGGGAGGCAGCTCGTACAGCTCCAAAATCGGGGTCCGTGACCCCCTAAGGGCACATTTTTCTGGTGAGTCCCAGCCAAAGCCAGGCAGCCCTGGGGATGCCGGTGCCGCGTCGCTGCCCGGAGCGAGCAGCATCCCTGCGCCCAGGGGCTGCTTTTGTCCCTCGTCATTCATGTTGCACCTGGCTGCGCTGCTTTTCCCAAAGGCGTCATGAAACTCACCCCTTCTCTGACCAGCTCAGCTGCTGGAATCAGAAACTCAGCTCTCACCTTCGCTTTTCAGTTTTCTGGACTGACAATGGAGGCAAGTTTAAAAAAAAACCGGCACCCCAAAGTCTAAGAAACCAGAAAGCGAAGTAGGAGCAAACAGGTGTCTGGATTGTATCTCATGGTTTCACAGTTAGCTCACAACTCTTACGGGCACAGCTACAGGTCTTTGAACCTTGTGATTGGAGATGCTTTAATTTGGTCCGATAGAATCTGTAAAGCACAGGTTTTCCTAAATTCTGTTAGAACAACGCAGATCCTCGAGGGCTTCAATTCTAGCCTCCCGGTGCCGTGTGCTCCCTCCCAGTCTGTGCCACTTCTTTTTGACTTCCAGCCCTTCCAGTCTGAATAATTCTATTTTTTA